CCTGCAGAGGCGGGAGAGAGGCTGGGGGGCCCTCCGGGTACCTGTCTGGTGAGGCTGCCGCCCAGGTTCATGGTGCCAGAGCCCGTCTTGTTCGTCTGCAGCCACAGCATCACCGTGGAGGTCAGCTTGTAGTGGGCAGTGCGGCCGCTGGACTTCTCCTGCAGGGGGGGGATGCTCGTGAGCGCACACACACACACACACACGACACACACACACACACGATCCTCCTTCGGAGGGGCTCAAGAGGCCAGCTCCTCTGCCAGGCTCCCCAAAGCACCCCTGCCCCCCACCAGGGCAGAGAGGGGGCAACTGGTACCCCTGCCCCCCTCCCTGTAGTAAGGAGTAAGGGAGAAGGGAGTAAGCAGACACAGGGGGAGGGGGTCCCTTCTAGTTCTGCAGCCTCCCTCTCTTTCCTTCCTTCCTTCCTCCCTTCCTTCCTCCCTCCCTCCATTCCTCCTTCCCTCCGTCTCCTTCCTCCCTCCCTTCGTCTCTCCTTCCTTCCTTCCTTCCTGTCTTCTTCCTCCCTCCTTGTCTCCTTCCTTCCTCCCTCCGTCTCCTTCCTTCCTTCCTTCATCTCCTTCCTTCCTTCCTCCCTTCATTCATTCCTCCTTCCCTGTCTCCTTCCTCCCTCCCTTCGTCTCTCCTTCCCTTCCTCCCTCCCTCCTTCCCTTGTCTCCTTCCTTCCTCCCTCCGTCTCCTTCCTTCCTTCCTTCATCTCCTTCCTCCCTCCCTCCCTCCATCTCCTTCCTTCCTCCCTTCCTTCATTCATTCCTCCTTCCCTCTGTCTCCTTCCTTCCTCCCTTCGTCTCTCCTTCCCTTCCTCCCTCCCTCCTTCCCTTGTCTCCTTCCTTCCTCCCTCCGTCTCCTTCCTTCCTTCCTTCCTTCCTCCCTCCTTCCCTTCCTGTCTCCTTCCTGTCTCCTTCCTTCCTTCCTGTCTCTTTCCTCCCTCCCTCTCTTCCTCCCTTCCTCCCTTTCATAAGGGGATGTTTTTGCAATATTTAATATGGGTCCTTTCCCCATATTAAGATAAGGGGGGTGCTGTTTTGGGGGGGGACATATAATTAAGTCCACCAGGCATCCCATCTGCCACCACGAGAGGGGGGGGGGAGACTGGGCTGTACCTGGACTTCTACCACGTGGATGGAGTCCCAGCAGCCTTTGATCTTCTTGGATCCGTCGCCAGCTTTCTTAATTAGAATCACCCCGGCAAATCCGTGATCCAGATCCCAGAGGTAAACCGAGGAAACACCCCCTTCGAAATACCTGCAGCCAAAAACAAAAGGCAGAGATTGATTCCCCCAGGACAGGATGAGGCAATTCCAGGAAGTGGGAAGCGGGAAGGGCAGGCAAGGCTAGACAAATGGCTGTCCAGTCTCTTCTTAAAAACTTCCAGTGTTGGAGCATCCACCACTTCTGGAGGCAGGTGGTTCCACTGGTTAATTGTTCTCACTGTCAGGAAGTTTCTCCTTAGTTCCAGGTTGCTTCTCTCCTTGATGAGTTTCCACCCGTTGCTTCTTGTCCTGCCTTCAGGTTTCTTTGGAGAATGGCTTGACTCCCTCTTCTTTGGGGCAGCCCCTGAGATACTGGGAGACTGCTATCCTGTCCCCCCTCATCCTTCTCTTCATTAAACCAGACAGACCCAATTCCAGCAACCGTTCTTCATATGTTTTAGCCTCCAGTCCCCTAATCATCTTTGTTGCTCTTCTCTGTACTCTTTCCAGAGTCTCAGCATCTTTTTTACATCGTGGTGACCAAAACTGGATGCAGTATTCCAAGTGTGGCCTTACTAAGGCCTTGTAAAGTGGTATTAACTCTTCACGTGATCTTGATTCTCTCCCTCTGTTCATGCAGCCCAGCACTGGGTTGGCTCTTTTGGCAGCTGCAGCACATGGCTGGGTCCTATTGAAGGGATATATTCAGAGCGGGCTTAAATGGGGCAGCGCCAACCGAGCCCCAGGCCTGCAGAGATGGGGACGGTTCTTTCACCCGCTTTGGGGGGGGTGGCACATGGTCTGTTCCCTCATCCTTGGTTTTTCTGTGACCCCCAGAAAGGGCTTCTCAGAGTGCACCAGACCCTCCTCCAGCCTCAGCAGGGCTGATCAAAGCTTGGACCTCCCACGTGAAATGGGCTTTCTCCCCTCGGAGCTTTTTGCCTGTCCAAAGCAACCAAGTTCGAATCCAGAACAAAACACACAGAACACCCGAAAGCGAATACGGGCAGTCGGTCAACCCTACCACGACTTACCTACAACCTGACCTCTACGACGGGCCCCTCGACTTACACCCACCACTGAGCCCCCAAATTTATGTCGTTAAGCGAGACATTTGTTCGGTCAGTTTTGCCCCGTTTTTACGACCTTTCTGCCCACCGTTGTTAAGTGGATCGCTTGCAGTGGATAAGCCGGTTGCCCGGTGCTTAAAGTGCGTCGGGCTTCCCTGTTGATTTTGCGGGTCAAAAGGTCGTCCGAGGGATCACGTGGCCCCGGGACCCAGCCAGCAACGGTTGTAAGTATGAGCCAGTGGCCAAGCAGCTGGATTCTGATCACGTGACTGGGGTCGTAAGTATGAAAAACGGTGCCAAGTCGCTTTTTTCAAGTGCCCTTGTAACTCTGAACAGTCACTAAGTGAACTGTTGTAAGTCAAGGACTGTCTACAGCTCTTCCCTCCAATTGTAATTTCACCAGCCGGCCAAGAGACGAAATCCCGATCGGGAGGAAAAGGGGGCGAGTATCACGAGACCCCCACGTTCCACGCCCAGCGACCCCCAACTTCTGCCTTCTAACCCTGAACGGCCAGGAACGAGCCCAAACGGGGGAGGAATTCTGATTTATTTTTTTTAACAGGCTTCCCATCAGAGGAGATTTTACATAAAGGCCTTTGTGGGTCTGTTTTACGAAGGGGCCGAACGGCCGGGCGAGACCGCAGAGGGGAAGGCCCGTGCCAGAACAAGCAAGCGCACACATGGAAACACTCGGCCGGCTTTTGTACCTCCACCGACTCAAATCTAGGATTAATATTATTGTAAATGTGAACATGCTGTTTCCACCTGGCCCAAGGCTGACGCTGGCCCTGGCCCCATGTTCCTGGGGAGGG